AAGCAGTGGTATCAACGCAGAGTACTGGTAAGGGGGATAAATGGGGGGGGGTGGGAGGAGGGGGTGAGAGGAGGGGGGAGGGGGAGGGGGGGGGGGGTCGTACGGATGGGTACCTTTAAGGAGGGGGGTCGTAAATGAGGGTCCCGGATCGCATGAACACGCTTGACCCTGCTTGTAATTATCCTTGAAGGCACCGTCCACCCAGATTCTCGACTTCCAGGTTTTTGTCGTTTCAGGGCCTTCTCATCTGGCTCCCACTGTGAAGTCGAGAATCCGCGAAAACCCCGACCCGGTTCCGCAGAATCCACAGGCCGGTTTTCAAAACGGTGATTGGATGAGCGCGCACGAATGGGCGGGCGTGGAAGGGAGGGCGGCGCGTCTGGGGGTCCTCGCGCATCTTCGTTATTCCGAAGCGATTTTCTCGCTTCCGAAGCGACATCTTGCACCGCGACTTCAGCATTGGCTTGGTAGGGGCTCTACTATAGCGACTTGAGCATTGGCTTGGTAGGGGCCCTACTATAGCTACTTGAGCATTGGCTTGGTAGGGGCGCTATTATAATATGCTGCCAAAAGCTCAAGACCAGGGTCAAGCAAGGGGTGTGGCACACGATCGCTGGTTACGACCCCCCCCCCTGATTGCTGTCTTAATAAGACCCCCCTCCTGGACTATACCCTTAAGATAGCATTACTTGGAGGCCCTGTCAAACATAATGGGCAACATATCCATAATGAGCATGTCAAATAACCCCTGTAGACAAAGTTTGAGCGAATTCTGAAGATTCAAGATACTAGGCTACCTAAGTGAAATGGTCAAATTCCAACATGGTTAACTTTGTTTCAAAGGTGAATTAGCTATCCGTTTTCGCACTCAAGACAAAGCACTACTCCTTCTTTGTCCACCTCAGGAATCCCGCTTCAGAAGACCTCCAAACTGTGGAATTAGAAGCCAACCAAAATCTCGTTTTTCCCATTTTTCGCTTTTGATCGTTGTGCTTTCACCAAATATTACTCAGAGCTAAGAAGACGAATCAGGCTCAAATCACTCCTGTGAAAACTAGGTGCCCCCACAATGGTCGGTCGCCTCATCGTGGCGTGGGGGTGACACTGGGTGTCGAACTGCGATGCACAGCCGAGTGTATACTCTGGTAGGGCCTCCCAAGCTGTGAAGGAGTTCGACGTTTCCGGTTTCGGCCGGATGCCTAGCTAAGAACTGGCCGCGCCAGATTCTCCGCCGTCTGGCTTCTTCTGGTCGCTAGGCGGTCCCTCCCCGCTCCAAGCCCGGGGTCAGCGATCACCCCGTGGAAATCAAGAGTAGGCCTAGTAAGCCACCTCTTGTAGGGGAACAAATTTTATTACTCAGACAGCAAGAAGATTTAGAAAAAACCCTGTACATCGGATCCCGCCTACGGCGCCGGGTGGTAGCAAGAACGATGTCAGGGTACTCAGGGCGCCTTTCGGATTGGACAAAAACGACACGTCTGCCCGGACGACACGCCATGGAGACTGCCTCATGCTCTGCACTTACAACGCCAGGACAGTCTCCACAAACGCCGACCTCCACGCTCTTCTCGACGCTGCAGAGCACATCAACTACCACATCATTGCTCTGCAGGAAACGAAGTCCAGGAAGAAGGACGTGCGACAGATGAGTGATGGGACCCTCATCATTCGTGGTGAAAAGGTTCCATCACGAAACGTGGGAGGCGTCGGCTTTGTCGTCCACCCATCTATCGTCCATCTTGTCGATTCGCACGAGATCCTATCACCTCGACTAGGCATCCTACGACTACGACCTCCACATCAGAAGACCATCAGCATCATCAACTGCTATTCTCCAACATCAGCAGCTGACGAATCAGAACTAGATGCTTTCTACGAAGATGTGGAGGAGGTCGTCCGCAACGAGAAGTCCTTTTACAAGTTTGTTGTGGGCGACTTCAACGCGAAAATCGGGATGCCACTGGAAAGGGAATATAGGATCGGGAAGTTTGGATATGGGCTCCGGAACGAAAACGGCAACCGTCTTGTTGGGCTTCTCTCCGCCGCACGACTTTTCCATGGAAATTCCATCTTTATGAAGAAGGAACATCGCCGGTGGGCATGGGAATCGCCCAACGGAACGACCCACGCGGAGATCGACCACATTCTCACCAACCGAAGGTGGAGCTTACTCGATGTCTCT